CCCTCCCCACTCCCCAGAGCGCCGGGTGCTTCACCAGGGCCCTTCTTTTTTTCCCCGGGCTTTCTTCTCGCCCCCACCGCCCCTTAACCCTTCCCCCTCCGCTTCTTGCACCCAAGGCACCGCTCCTGCATCCTAATTAACGCCCCATCCAACCCCAGAAGTGCCGGGAATGTCGTCCCAGGGAATGTCGTCCCTCTGTCTTGGCCAACGCGCCCCGTTCGTCTCCCTCCGAAGGAACATCCGGGTGTTTCTTGGGGTGGCCGCCCTAAAAAGGGAGGGAAAAGAGGATTTTGGGGGCAGGCCATGGGATCACTGAGAAGTCCAAAATTAATTCCCCCTCCCAAAAAAAAAGAAGCGGGAATTTAATCCTCTCTGGTCCTCACATTCCCAATATTGTCCTTCATTCCGACCTCCACGGGCCTGGTGTCGTCCAAGTGCTGCCCTTTGCTGGTGGACAGGGATGGGTGAAGCTCCTCTTGGGGATTTCTCCCATAGGAAGGGAAAGACTTGGGAATGGAAGGAGTTTCCAACATCTGCACCCAGAAAAGAAAATTTTTTTTAAAGCTTTTGCCATTCCTACCTTTTTTATTTTTATTTTTTCCATTGTACCCATCCTGTAACCACTGGGATTTATCCACCTGAGCTGGGTGACGTGAACAGACCCCGGAAACTCCTGGAAAGAGGGACCTGCACAGGGAAAAAAAACCAAATCCCTGGGATATTTTAGACACACCTGTATTTATAAGGAAAATATCTCCCCTTTTTTCCCCCTCTTACCTCATGAAGTGAAGGAAGGAAATCGGGAATATCTGTGATAGGAAACCCCCCCACACCCCACCCAGGGAACTTTCTCATTGAGTTCCTGAGAACTGGGATTGGTTTGCTTAAAACTGGGAATATTTGCCACAGGATAAATCCTGGGAACACTTGTAATGGTGTCAGGGAGCTGCTTCCACCAGAAATTATGCCTATATATATGAATATATGGGGGATATGTATGTATCTATAGGGTGATAGGGGGTGTGTGTTTTGATCTATGTTCTATACATTTATCTGAGAGGCTGCCAGGGTTTAATCCCAGCTGGAATCCCGGGATGTGACAGGGGCCACCCCGGGGCTGGGCCCCCTGCTCTCCCCTCGCCACCAGCCCTGACCTACATAGCGGGTGCTGGATCCGCCTGCAGTGACAGGCAGGAACCTCCCCTTTGGCACCACTTTGGGTGAAATGAGGCAGAAATGGTGGGGTTCTCCCCCAGCTCCTGCCAGGGGTGGGCACGGGGGGCTCGAGCAGGACTCTGCCTTGCCCCACAGTGGGCTCTGCCTCTCTCTCAGGGTGCAGGAGACACTGGTGGCATCTCCTGGGCTGGATTTCTGCGGTTCAGCCCTGAAATAGGAGTGGGGGATTCTCCTGTGGGACCCACCTTGGCGGGGACAGCAGCCCCTGGGGGGATTGTCCCCACAGCCACCGTCCTGCCAGGCCTTCCTGGGGTGGGCAGAGAGGGCAAAAATACCCCGGGGAGAGGGAAAAGGAGGGAGGTGAGAGGGGAAAAGGAAGGGAACCTGAAAAACAGGGGAGAAAATAGACCAGAAGGAGAGAGAAATAGAGGAGAAATCATAAAAAGCAGAGAGAGGAAAGGGGAGAGAGTGGAAGAAGGAGCAGATGACGGGGGGCCTGGCGGGCTGGGACACAAACGAGGGCGAGGTGATGAAGCAGGACATGGGCAGACAAGACAAGAGAGGAGCAGCAGGGGAGGAGGCAGAAGGA